CTGCCACGGCGTCTTAGGCCTTACTTGGAGCGCGCACGGGGGAACGGGAGGGGACTGGGCTAGGCCACGCCCCATTTTGGTCCCCAAAATGTATGGGAAAAGCTTTCTAAAGGCTATAACTTTTTTTCGAAAAAAAATTAGAAATGTTCCGCCTGGCGATCGATAGAGAAGACTATAGGGAACATTTTAGTCAAAGAATTTGGGCGATCGCCGGGAAAAATAAGGACTTGAAACGTTTTGAAGCAAAAATCAAGATTATTTTCTGATTCGGCCTCCGGGCCGCCCCATCTGTTTAATTTTCTACCTGGAATTCGCTAAAGATTTGTTGTCGGTGCCTTTCAGAAACTTGTGCAAAAAAAAGCAAAACGGTGTCGCGTGTTTATGCGAGGGGAGGAATCGAACCAGGACCCCGCGCCTGTCACTCCGACCGCCGCCTTAGACCACTAGGCCATGCCCGTCCCCACCCCCCGTGCGCGCTCTAAGACACCGTGCTGCATCTACGGTGGTCTCGTTTCCGGGCTGAACTCGGCGTCGAACATTTTCATTTACGGCTGGAAATACGAGGAACTGCGGAACGGGATGATCCAGGTTAGATTGCGAGAATCGGTGAGGCGTGTCGGGGGATTCGAAAGACTCTATTCCGGATGAGGGCTGTTGCTGCACCAGAGGGGTCGAAATGGGCTTCTAGCATGCCATCGGGCATTCTACGGGACGTGCTGCCCACCAAGGCTTGCCAATTAACGAAGGGTTCCACAGAAATTGGAGCGTTTTTGAGTTATATTTTCGTATGCCTTTCTCTATGAGTGTTTTTAGGAAGCGCGAAAACCTGAAAACCGTTTTAAAAAGCGTAACAGCGGCTCGGAGTTATCTCTTAGTATACGATCTAATTTTTTAGAAATTATTTAGACTTTCAGAGCGGGACGATTTCGCCATTTTCCAATTTTCAGGTGGTAACCTGCCGCCCGGCCACCATCCAACGCGAAAACAGCTCCTACAATGTGCTAAATAAGCAGGCTCGCCGGGACGACGTTTTTCTTTAACGGTAAGTCGGTCATGTTTTGGCTTTTGGTAACCTAATGGCTACCATCCTGTTAGCGGGGGCTGATTTGTGTTTTTTTTTCGCCTAGACCTACCTGTTAATCCCATATAATGTATTTTTAAAGTGTTTTTAGTAGTTTTGATTCATAGAAAATTCAAATATCTTCAAAAATTAAAAATTTTGAGTTTTTTAGATTCGGACATTTTTGGCCAAAAATTCTATAATTTTTTCAACCTGCTTTTTATTACTAAAAAATGGTAAGATGCTATAAAAATGGTTTAAATTTGGTTACAGGGGGCGTACGAAATTGTTGGAAAAAATGGATTTCTCCCTGCTAATCCTCCCCCCGCTAACACACCAGTACCACCGAATGCCTCGATTGGCTTACATCTATCTAAAAATGTAAGGTTTCCACTTCCGCTTTCTCCCCCATTTTTCTACCTTTCTACAGCAAGCTGGAAATTTCGTGACGGAGGCTGGGAGGGCTATTAAATTATTTCCCCACCCGGGACCACCCGATCCTTGTAAACGCCCAACCTGAAATGGGCTTTTCATTGGGCGATGCCCTCCCCTCGAGATGGGTGATTCAGTGGCCGGAAATTACCGCCCAAAACCGTGTCGAATTGCCCCTTTTATGGCCGCCAGATTTTTGCGCCCGAGCCTCGCGCCTGATTAAACCTTTGTTTCTTTGCCCCGGATTTGGTTTTTTTTTTTCTAAACTTTAGGTTTAAAGTGTCGAACGTTGAAACCTTAGTCTTTTCTCGAAAGTGGTTCGGATTAATTTCGGATTGAAATGAGGGTATTTTTTCAATGAAAACGTTCTAAAAGTGCGCCCAGCAGTTTCGGAGGGCTTCTTTTCACGGGCCAAAATCAAAGTTCTGCCCCAAGAAAGGGGGAGGAAGCCTCTCCTTAGCGGATTGGATTACTGCATTCGGATTGTTCAGTCTGCGTTTTTTTCGTTCCTTCGATTCATAACTAGTTGGGCCATTTTGAGCCTAAAAAGCGCTTTCCCCCCTCCCCCCTTCGAGCCTGGGTTTAAATCGAATCTTTCTCGGCGGTTTAAATGGGTTTTTTGAGGCAGATTGGCTCCCGAGATTCGAGTCTGACAAGGAGTGTCCTTTTGGTGTCATCGGCAAAACGATTCGAGACCCCGCTCATTCGATAGAGAATTGAATTCTGAACAAGACTGTGTTGTTGATTTTTGCGGAATGGCTGTCCCTGATTTTATAAAATTAAAAAACTGCCGGCGACGCCCATACATTGGTGCTTGGGGAGCGAGTTGTTAAGGTTTCGCGCTTGGTGTTTTAATTCTATAAAATCAGGGACAACCATTCCGCAAAAATGAACAACACAGTCTTGTTCAGAATTCAATTCTCTATCGAATGAGCGGGGTCTCGAATCGTTTTGCCGATGACACCAAAAGGACACTCCTTGTGAGGGCGATTCGAGTATTTGATTGTGGTTTTCCCAGTTTTTTGGGGGTTTTACAAAAGTCGCGTGCGCATAGCGGTCAGGAAATGAGACAGCGTTTTGCTAATCTAGTTTTTGATTTTTTCTAAACAGCGAAAAAATATAGGCGTTGTTTTGTTTTTTGTTTAGTAAGGTCTTTTCAACTTCAACCGGAATTGGAGCTTCGACTGGCGCGCACGTTTGAAGATCTCGGACTCCTGACTATGGCTTTTCTACGCGCTGCCGCGTCGCGACACGCAACGCGCAGGAGCGCCTTTCCATTTCGTAATGGATTATGCCCTTTTTAGTGTACGTCCTGCGTGTCGCGGGCTTAAAAGTCTTTCGGGAATCTATAGCCATTGCATTGGCCGGCTCTTTAAAAGGATAGGAACGGCAGCGTATGGATTTTCCGGCCATTTTTTAGACACGCAACGCGCTTCCGGATTTTCATGGCGCAATAATTAGTTTGACTTACTGACGCCAAGCGTTCCGTGTACGTTGCGCCTCGCGCTGGTGTATTATCCATAGAGCGTGGACAGCCTAGAAAATCCCTAGCCTTGCCTGCCCACCCCTTTAAAAAGCGTTGACGTGCACGGAAAGAAAAGAAAAAGTATGTGACGTAAGCAACGTGCTAGCCATTTTTAATTGCCGATGCTTACGTGGGTGACTTTAGCCTAGAAAGTAGGGGGGCCTTTCCGGTTCTTTGGCCCACCCCAGCTTCGTTAATTTAACTTTTCGGCTTCATTCTCCCCTCAAAAGGTTGGGCTAAAGATTGCAACGTGGCCGGGGAGGTTCCATTGGAAATCGCGGAATCGGAATCACCCCACCCGGATGGCCCAAATAACTCATTTTGCACGGGCTGGGCCCCAAGAAGAAGGGCTTAAGCCCCTGGTCGAAAAAGGCCTAGGGGCAAACCCCTTTTGGAGGTTTGGCCTTGGGCCAACGAGATGTTCCTCCAAACACCTCCTCCTCCCCTCTTCTCATTCCACACACATTCCATTCCATCCCTCTACCCAAAAGGGGATACAAGAAGATATTGCCCACCACTGGATTGGCTCTGATATTAAAATCTGGAAGCGGCCGCCATCGGCGCGAATCGAGGCGGGCAAATGACCCCATCCACGGCAGCGTCTTCCGCTTCTGCCTACTACACTTCACCCATCAACCGGCCAGAGGTGTCGTGCGCTCTTTTAAAGGGTTCGGATAGGCAACACTTGCTATATATTCCGATTATGGATTTGCTACAGATTTTTTCCGGAAGCTCAACCCTAACCCAAACTTTCCATGGCGTAATAGATTCCGTCCTTTAAAGAAACCGACAAGACATTTAAAAGCGCATAGAAAAACTAGATCAAATATTTCAAAAAGTCGCAATTTTGGTCAAAATCGGTCACTTTCGGTCGAAAAATCGATATTTTATGTTTTTTCATACAACTTTGTAAAGTTTTCACGCTTAGGAATCGTAAACAACCCATTTAGAAACACTTCCACTATCTATATGTGAAAAATAAGATCCTAAGAAAAAGTTGGTGCCCCCCCTAAGGGGAAAGAACCTCGTAATGGATTCCGGCCCTTTAAAGAAACTGACAATGACTATTACGAATTATTTTTGCCTTAGTTTTACTAGTTTTGCCTGCGTTTCAAGCCTAAAACAACAATTTTTGGACTTGCCCCCCGAATTAGCCGAATTATTTTGCTTCCCGATAACGGGCTTGTTGACTTATTTTGATAAGGAAACCCCGAAAAATTCGAAAAGCCGATTTTAAGCCTAAGCCGCACCGGAATTCGTGAACAACCCTTGGTCTCGCTTTTTTAAAGCTCCCAGTAACTTTTGCGTATTTTCAAGCGCTAAATTCTCGTATTTTTGGTGAAACCCACTCAAATATGATATGGGTATTTAGCATGTGGGAATTGGACAACCCACGTCTGGCGCTCATTTTCATCTTCATTGCCCAGTAATTCAGACGCAACGTCTTGTTTGTTTTTTTTTGCTTTATTTTGTTGTAGTTTAGAGTGGAAAGTCCAAAAATGGGTGCAGGAATTGCCGCTCAGAAATGTATGACGATGCCTGGACGTATTTTTAGGACTTTTCTGGGTTTTCCAAACCTTTTTAAGCTTTTTTAGACTCTTAAGAATGTGTAAAACTACTTTTATATTTGCTATATTTAATTGTGTAAATATCCTTCTTCCACAAAAGGTTGTAAAATCCCAATTTGGCAGTGCAGTCGCCTTTATGAGCAATTTTTGGGTTTTTTTTGTGGCTTTCAGAGCTTTTTTAAGCCATTAAGAATATATAAAACTATTTTTATAATCTATATAAAGCCTTAAAAACCTAGCAATTCTTTGGAATAGACATAAATTGCTATATTTTGCGGGGCAGACTAATTGGCCGCCGGGCTGCGGCCCGTATTATATTTTTCCGGGCATTTCTGCACGAATCCTGAGCGTTGACCACACGGATTGAATAAAAAGGGATATTACACGTCTGCTTCCTTACCAATAATAATTATTTGTCTGGCGTTATTAGTTTCTCGGCGTTTCGTCAATGGAAACCAGCTGCCAGCAACACTAAAAAAGGGGCGCAGATTTGACATGTGATTAGTCAACAGCTGCCTGGGGAATTCAATTATAAGGAAATTCATGGTTTTCTTACTGTTTTAGTTTTCAGGTTAAATTTTTAATACGATAATTTAAGAATTTTATAAAACTTTGACGACTTCCTACTTTAACGGCGAAAAATTCCGTATAACTTTCGTTTATTTACCTCATAGATACTAAAATACCAGACACGTAATAGTCCCGCAATTTCCGTTAAAAATACGATAGCGGCTCTCAATTTTGAAAACAGATGCTATAATTTCTTACAATTTGCCATGTAATTTCACTTTTAGGGGTATTTTGGTATTCTTTTTTTAGTGTAGCTTGCCTTATGATAGATAT